CACTCGGTCACGGCGGACCGACCCAGACCCCATCCTCCTGCTCGGCAGCAGCCCCCTTGCTGGCGCTGCAGGCGATTTCTAACGTTTCCTTCTCTTCCACTTCTGCCTTTTGGAAATTGGCACTCAGATGGTCCGTTTTGTTTTCAGATCCTTGCATTCCAAGCAAGATCTGTCCTGTTGTTATTTTATCTCTGAAAAATATTTTACGATGCTTAGTTCATGGCAGATATTGAAAGACATGCATAATTGGGAAAAGTCCAAATATCTGAAGAAATTAAGAATGCACGTCCGTCTATATAGAGAGACTTGGTATTTAAATTTACCATGAACTTTCTTCTGAGTCACTCATGCACGGATGTGTCTTGACAACCATTCAGCTGCGTTATATTCACTTGAGAGCTGCTGCTAATTTTGCTGTAAATTGAGTGCTTCGTGAGTTCCCCCTTCTCCTGAGAAGTGACTGCATTATTTTATTAGCTAGTGTCAACTGTTGAAGGAGTAAAGGTGCCCCGCATGGATTGGTGTTACGTAGCGCCCCTCTGTTTTACTGAGAGGAGAATATTGTCTGGAGATCTTAATGGACTAAAACCGGTGATCCGTGGCTCGTTCTTCCCATATTGGTTCTCGTTAAAGCCTTTCAATGTTTGGGTGCTTCTTTCCTCGGCTGAGGGAAGACGTGTTGAAGGGACATATCCAGCAGATGCCATGTGGCTTTTTCTGATTGCTTAAATAAATGGAATTGCTTATATAAAGTAAAATAGAAAATATCTATCTAACCTGCAACCAGAAAAGTGGACGCTGATATGCAGCAGTTTAAGGCAAAGTCTCTCTAGAAGATTCCGTGTTAACTGCAGAAAATCAAACTAAGTTAATTAATTAAAACCAAAGCATCAAGTACTAAGTCAAATGTTTTTTCTTCAGGTTAAAAGTTGAGGAAGCCAAAGAAGTTCAGAGCCTCAGAAAGCGACCCAATGGGGTGAGGTAAGGGATGTAGCACCAAGGCCGTGAAGTTGTGTTTTGTCCGACGGTGTAATGTAACAGTAAATTTCTCTCTTGTCACGTGCCTCCTTTCAGTAGAAACCGTTACAGGTCGGATAGTGCCAAAACCATGTTCTTGATAGAGGAGTTTCTACATTAGAGCCTGAGGGTGGAAAAGAGGGGGAGTTTGGTACAGGTGCACGGTGTCAGTTCACAGTGAGCAAAGTCTGTTCCGTATCCCAGCCATGAAAAAGATTAAGATTGGGATTTACCGTGAAATGTATTTTCATCAAATTACTTGCACACGTGGTTTAAATTGGACAGTTTCACACCTCCTCCATCCTAATTCCCCTCTCCCCTCTCATCTAGTGCCGTTGATTAGCTGATGAGCTAGTTGAAGTGTGCACCAGCAATGAACTGTGTTCCTTATTTTGGTGACTCACTGTACGGCACTAAAATCTGCCTTCTCATCTCCCCAAAACAGTAATAGTTCCTCTATCCATGTGGAGGAATTAGGAAGATTGACAATTTAGCGTTAATACAGTGTGTGAGACCATCTGCTAGATTTAGAGAAGGATAAAGAGATGCAATATTGTTGGTAATATGTTTCCTTCCACTGAATTTTATTTATCTGTTTGACTAGCGCTGTAGCTCTGCTTGTGGGAGAGAAGTTGCAAGAAGAAGCAACGCTTGTGGTAAGTGCTAGACGCTTTCATCACCTCGGCGCTAAGATGTAATGATGTGAAAACATCACTGTGGTCCAGCGGATCACTGCGGGAGTCTGGCCTGGGGTTGGACTGATGTCACAGCTCAATACTTAAATGTTTTCTGTGTTTTTATCCATATTTTGAAGACTAGCGTTAAACTAGAGGGAAGCTTCAGGGTTTCTCATTATTTCTTATTTTACAGGATGACCCATTCCAGATGAAATCTGGGGGAATGGTGGACATGAAGAAGCTGAAAGAAAGAGGCAAGGACAGGTGGGTGCGTATGAGCTCTGAAGATCTCTCCCTGGACTAGTATTAAATGACAGCTAGTAATGAAGTAACCAGATGTTGTGTTGCTTTGAAGAGTTTAACATAATGCAGTTTGGCCGGTTACTGTTACGCTAACTTGTCACATTACAGTTTTGGGGTGTTTTGTTTTTTTTTTTTAACTAAACATTGTGGTTTCCATTTAGGATTAATGAAGAGGAAGATCTAAACTTGGGAACTTCCTTCTCAGCTGAAACCAACAGGCGGGATGAAGATGCTGACATGTAAGTTGTGCTGCGTTGTGTCTGGGGTGTTGAATTCAGGCTTGGGTGTCCCCTAACAATTTTTTTTTTTCTCTCTTGGATACTGAGCAGTCCCAGAACATCTTCCCAGTTCTCACTGAAACTTTCACTTGCCCTTTCACCTTCTGGCTGCCAGACTTGAGGAGGCTTTTTCATGGACAAAGATGGGAGGTGCCGACCAGCTATCTTGGCATTAAATACCATGGGAGCCTTCCCTGCTGGTTGTGAAAGAGCTTGGAGGATCTGATCATTTCTTGGGCAATTGCTTCTTGCAGTTGATGTTAGCTGAGTTGTTTCGGAGAGGTTATTCTTTCCTTTCTCCTAGCTATCGGGACAGTGATGCAGCTGTGCTCAGCAGTGCTGGGACAGAGTACAGAAAACAGAATTAAATACTGTGTGTCCCTCGTGTGCTGCTGTTTAGGATGAAGTACATTGAGACTGAGCTGAAGAAAAGAAAGGGAATTGTGGAGAACGAGGAGCAGAAGGTGAAGCTTAAGAATGCCGAGGACTCTCTGTACGAGCTGCCAGAGAACATCCGTGTCTCCTCTGCCAAGAAGACGGAGGAGATGCTGTCCAACCAGATGCTGAGTGGCATTCCTGAAGTGGACCTGGGAATTGAGTATGTCGTTCACAGATCTGTTGGTTGTGGCCTGAATTGCCAGATGAGCAACTGTTGATTGGCAGAGCAGTGGTATGGCTGGATTATGCAGCCCCGGTTTGGCTCTGTGATGGGATTGAGCCTTGTTCTGGATTAGCGCGGTATCTTAGCACAGCATGTTCTACACAGTGATAGGGCTCCAGTGCAGCTCCATCGTATGACTTCTGGGAAGAGGCTCTTAATTTTTGTGACTTGAATCTAGCAGCTTTCTGGAGGATCAGTTTATGCCCTGCATTGAAAGAGGGTGTGCTAAAGATGCAAGCTTCCCTTTTGCCTTTGAAACAAAGCATCTGTTTCTATAGCACTGCCTCCTCTCTCAAAAAACACATCAAATACCCTAGCAGTGCTACTACTATCCCCAAAATCCATCCACTTAGCACTTCTATGCCTACTACCCTTTTAAAATATGAATGAGTATTTTTTTTCTTTGTTTTCCTTCTAGTGCAAAAATAAAAAACATCATCTCAACTGAAGAGGCCAAGGCCAAGCTGCTGGCAGAGCAGCAGAACAAAAAGAAAGACAGCGAGACTTCCTTTGTTCCCACCAACATGGCTGTTAACTATGTCCAGCACAACAGATGTAAGTCTCACGTAGCATTCCTGACCCAGGTGTGACCCTCTCCTCTGCTAAAGAAAAGCAGTCAGCTGGGACAGAGTCTGATGCAGGAGAAATTAGTTCATGTATCAGCACAAGCAGCTGTCTGATTCCTTTTTCTGGGGTGCTCATATAGGCCCCATCTGGCTTGGTCTTTTTCTTCCATCCGTCAGCAAGGAGAGGGACGTATTACTCATGGCTTGACTTTCTGCTCTTGAACTCCCAGCTGACACTGCCTCATAAATCTCAAGACTTTTTCTTTGTGTCTTGAGCGTGTGCTGGAAATGCCTGCCTCGTCTGCGATTATAAATGATGGTTTATAATTGAGAGAATCCATTTTGTAGGCTGCCAAAGTAGACAGGTGGTCAAGCAAACATAGACCTTATTAGACAGGAGACAGGAATTAATTTCCGGGAGAGCCTCTCATACCACAGCCATCTGGAGGAAAGGCAGCCTTCTGCTGTGTCTAACCCTGCTTACGGGGTGATTTGGAGTCAGATTTGTGTGTTCTGAAGGAAATGAAGAGTCTTTGGGCCACTTCTGATGAAATAGTGCTACTGAAATTTCCTGTCTCCCATCTTGCGTGTATTGATTATCCGTAGGAACCAATTACAAGAATGCTTGTTCTGAGGTTCTGTTGTTTCTGCTAAAGATCAGTTTTAACAAATGCCATAGAAATACTTGCGTCTGAATATCACTGCTCCAGGTAATATTCCTTATCTGCTGTTTTCCTTCTTTCAGTTTATCATGAGGAGCTAAATGCACCAGTGCGAAGGAACAAAGAAGAGCCAAAGCCCCGTCCACTGAGAGTGGGGGATACGGAGAGGCCAGAACCTGAGCGTAAGCTCCTAATCTGAAATGTCATAAGGAGAGACGCTGGAAACTCTTCAGGGGTCTTGCACAGAGAAATGATCTAGCTCTTCTTACCTCCTCGTCTCTGGGTGCCCTGAGGTAGTGGGGAAACGGAGCAACCAAAGTCCATGAGAGGCTATTGCACTTGATGTACCCCTACTGGGTCACACGTGAAGCCCTCTGGATGGAGGATGTCTTTAGCGATGCCCAAGGATGGAGTAGCAAAGGTCACAACTGAAACGTGTTGCCAAAGCTGGCTGACAAGCGTTTGGTGAAAGCTGGAATAGCAAGGGGTGCAAGGTTGGGGAGCAACAACAGCTAAAGCAGTAACCTTTCCCATAGCAAGGGGCTCTTTAAGGAAAGTGGTGGAGTTCAGGAAGTGTCTCCTGTGAAATGACAGGGAAATAATATTTCCTTCTCTTTCTTTTGAAGGGTCTCCTCCAAATCGCAAACGTCCACTCAATGAAAAAGCAACAGATGATTATCACTATGAGAAATTCAAGAAGATGAAAGGACAGGAAATAATATTTCGTTCTCTTTCTTTTGAAGGGTCTCCTCCAAATCGCAAACGTCCACTCAATGAAAAAGCAACAGATGATTATCACTATGAGAAATTCAAGAAGATGAAAGGACAGGAAATAATATTTCGTTCTCTTTCTTTTGAAGGGTCTCCTCAAATCGCAAACGTCCACTCAATGAAAAAGCAACAGATGATTATCACTATGAGAAATTCAAGAAGATGAAAGGACAGGAAATAATATTTCGTTCTCTTTCTTTTGAAGGGTCTCCTCCAAATCGCAAACGTCCACTCAATGAAAAAGCAACAGATGATTATCACTATGAGAAATTCAAGAAGATGAAAGGACAGGAAATAATATTTCGTTCTCTTTCTTTTGAAGGGTCTCCTCCAAATCGCAAACGTCCAGCCAATGAAAAAGCAACAGATGATTATCACTATGAGAAATTCAAGAAGATGAAAGGACAGGAAATAATATTTCGTTCTCTTTCTTTTGAAGGGTCTCCTCAAATCGCAAACGTCCACTCAATGAAAAAGCAACAGATGATTATCACTATGAGAAATTCAAGAAGATGAAAGGACAGGAAATAATATTTCGTTCTCTTTCTTTTGAAGGGTCTCCTCCAAATCGCAAACGTCCAGCCAATGAAAAAGCAACAGATGATTATCACTATGAGAAATTCAAGAAGATGAAAGGACAGGAAATAATATTTCGTTCTCTTTCTTTTGAAGGGTCTCCTCCAAATCGCAAACGTCCACTCAATGAAAAAGCAACAGATGATTATCACTATGAGAAATTCAAGAAGATGAAAGGACAGGAAATAATATTTCGTTCTCTTTCTTTTGAAGGGTCTCCTCCAAATCGCAAACGTCCACTCAATGAAAAAGCAACAGATGATTATCACTATGAGAAATTCAAGAAGATGAAAGGACAGGAAATAATATTTCGTTCTCTTTCTTTTGAAGGGTCTCCTCAAATCGCAAACGTCCACTCAATGAAAAAGCAACAGATGATTATCACTATGAGAAATTCAAGAAGATGAAAGGACAGGAAATAATATTTCGTTCTCTTTCTTTTGAAGGGTCTCCTCCAAATCGCAAACGTCCAGCCAATGAAAAAGCAACAGATGATTATCACTATGAGAAATTCAAGAAGATGAAAGGACAGGAAATAATATTTCGTTCTCTTTCTTTTGAAGGGTCTCCTCCAAATCGCAAACGTCCACTCAATGAAAAAGCAACAGATGATTATCACTATGAGAAATTCAAGAAGATGAAAGGACAGGAAATAATATTTCGTTCTCTTTCTTTTGAAGGGTCTCCTCAAATCGCAAACGTCCACTCAATGAAAAAGCAACAGATGATTATCACTATGAGAAATTCAAGAAGATGAAAGGACAGGAAATAATATTTCGTTCTCTTTCTTTTGAAGGGTCTCCTCCAAATCGCAAACGTCCAGCCAATGAAAAAGCAACAGATGATTATCACTATGAGAAATTCAAGAAGATGAAAGGACAGGAAATAATATTTCGTTCTCTTTCTTTTGAAGGGTCTCCTCCAAATCGCAAACGTCCAGCCAATGAAAAAGCAACAGATGATTATCACTATGAGAAATTCAAGAAGATGAAAGGACAGGAAATAATATTTCGTTCTCTTTCTTTTGAAGGGTCTCCTCAAATCGCAAACGTCCACTCAATGAAAAAGCAACAGATGATTATCACTATGAGAAATTCAAGAAGATGAAAGGACAGGAAATAATATTTCGTTCTCTTTCTTTTGAAGGGTCTCCTCCAAATCGCAAACGTCCAGCCAATGAAAAAGCAACAGATGATTATCACTATGAGAAATTCAAGAAGATGAAAGGACAGGAAATAATATTTCGTTCTCTTTCTTTTGAAGGGTCTCCTCCAAATCGCAAACGTCCAGCCAATGAAAAAGCAACAGATGATTATCACTATGAGAAATTCAAGAAGATGAAAGGACAGGAAATAATATTTCGTTCTCTTTCTTTTGAAGGGTCTCCTCCAAATCGCAAACGTCCAGCCAATGAAAAAGCAACAGATGATTATCACTATGAGAAATTCAAGAAGATGAAAGGACAGGAAATAATATTTCGTTCTCTTTCTTTTGAAGGGTCTCCTCCAAATCGCAAACGTCCAGCCAATGAAAAAGCAACAGATGATTATCACTATGAGAAATTCAAGAAGATGAAAGGACAGGAAATAATATTTCGTTCTCTTTCTTTTGAAGGGTCTCCTCAAATCGCAAACGTCCACTCAATGAAAAAGCAACAGATGATTATCACTATGAGAAATTCAAGAAGATGAGTAGGCGATACTGATGAACATGGAGTTGTTCTTATTTTCCACTAATAAAGGATTTTGTGTCAATGACCTGAAATGGAGTTGGGGAGAGTCACTACCTTCACATGCTGGTGTTACCTACAAAGCTTTTCTTGTGATCTTGTAGTGAATCGGTTCGCAGGTGATTGTGAGCTCTTTGGTCGGTAAAATCTTGTATATAACTTATTTTCAGTTATAAAACTTCTTTTATAAGAACATGAGCTTTCATGGTTAGCATTTTTTAGTGAGAAAACAAACTTGCTTTTGCAGATTCTTTCACCCTCTTGAAAAATATGAAAAAAGAGATCCTTTAAAAGCAGCAGTGCTGTTTGCCTTGTAAATATAAAGGGAAGGTTTAAAGCCAGTTTGCTTGAATGTAACTTTGTAAGAGACTTCTTGTTTGTTCCCAAGGGCCTTTGCTGTGCAGAGTGTGTAAGGCTGAGATCGTGCAGGAGTGTGTTCAGTGCCGCTGCTCCTCAACCTGGCTTGCAAGCGCTCCGGGAGAAATCACAGCGTTGGCTGTGCCTGGCGCTGCCTCGCTGGGTCTGTCATCAGCGCAAGGAGCAACAGCAGATACATAGTGCTGGGGATTTTAGGTGATAAGCTGTGTTGTTCTGTATCTTTTTCTCCCTGTAGAGTTACTTCTATAGCAGTTCACTGCCTTTTATTTTAGCTGCGAAGAAGAAGAAAATTGGATCAGCTTGTAACTGTTGAATTGGAGGAAAATCTCACTTTCAGCTCTTAGGACAGGGTCAAGAGGCAGCTGGTGAAGAGGCCAGAGGACCCGCAGCCGGTGTCAGCCACGTCTTCCCAGGAGATGTGCGGGTACTCGAAGCCAAGATTTGGAACTTGCAAATAATAAAAGTGTTTTTAAGTGATCGTAAATGGCATTTTTCCCATTTGTTAAACCATTTCGATGGTTTCCGGGTGGTGGTGGTAACGATGGCCAGGGTGTCCTGTGGCTGCGTGGGTGTCCATGTCCCGTCACTCAGGAGCAGAAACTCCAGGGAGGGGCTGGGGTTAGGCCCAGATTTTACTTTTTTTCAGAAAAGGGGGAAAGTCTCTGGGCCGGGTGAATGCACGAGTTTGAAGCCTGTGTGCCCCCGTGCCCTGGCGTGGCATCTCCCTTGAATGCCTGTGAACGCAGCACGGCTAATCTAACGTTCGAGCGCGAGCGCAGTATTTAATCAAGTGTACCACACGAGGCCGCCATTTAGCTGATTACAGCCGCGGGCGCCCATCAACATGGCGG